AACAAAAGGGTGAAGATGAACGAGCGAGTCCGATCCAAGGTTGTAGATCATAAATAAAACCGCTTGAAATTTTATGCTCTCATTTTATTTTTCTCATATGCTCAACTCTGTAATAGCTTTTGTTTAATACAGTTTCCATAAATTAGTAATTGAGCAGGGTTATCTTATGTATATTTGACACATATGTAGATGGTTTGTCACACATGTTAAAAAGCCAAACAAAATAAAGACAATCTCAAAACCTTACACATGAAAATTCTAAAATCCGTTATGTAAAATTATAATTTCAAACATTTGTAGTGGATTTTGACTTATTAAAAAGGTATAGCTATTATTATTTAACTTTTTTTTCCCTTCCGGTTAAGTGGTTTACTCTTCGTTTCAAAAAAGATAGAGATTAGAAGGTGGAAACTAATCACATGGCCACATAATCTGTTATGTTTGTTTCCACTTTAGAGTTTGGAGTTGTTGTATTAGTTCTAATTACTTTATAATGCTTTGGACATATTTTATTTTGTAAAACTTCATTTGGTACTGTTGGAAAACTTGAAGCCTTCTTTTTCTCGACCAACAGCTGTACAATCTTCACGTTCTGTTCTTGACGTTCTTGGGCAAAAGTGTAGGAAGCATACTATTCAAAAATGATGTCCAGTCAACCGAGTTCCTCTTAGCCTCAGCATCTGCTAGTGCCTTTAAAGCAGCCTTACTTATAGAAGTAACCTGCTCAGGAAGTCTTTACATGTCTCCAAAAATACTCCAAAACTTATTCCAATTAACCTAGTTAGATGATGCATCTATGACACAGTTCACATTTAAACAATTATAATATCTCAAGGGGTGTAATGTTTCCAATTAAAACAAAATTAGAATTTTTCAAGCATTCCCTAAAATACTATATGACTTTGATTATCGTTTGTAATGTGAACTATAAAACAGCTCTCTAAATAACATTAAACATCAATTATAGTTTAATTGGCTATTTACGATTACGAAAATTAACACAATCTGTCTTTAAAAATATTCCTAAACTTATTCCAATTAGTCTAGTTAGAGGCTGCATCCAAGACATAATTGACATTTAAACTATCTCAAAGAGTATAGTGTTTCCAATCAAAACAAAATTATAATATCTCAAGGATTCATAAAATACTATATGACTTTGGGTTATCGCTGGTAAACCGTAAAATAGGTCTAAATAATATTAAACTTCAATTATAATTTAATTGACTAGTTACAATTACAAAGTAATAACACAACATAATCTGATTATGTTCGTCATGGTTGAATTAATCATGTGCTTCTAAGTTATAAGAACAAACACACATTATGGTTATAAAAATAAACATATATTATATTTATCCTCCAAGAGTTATGCTTCAAACTTGGGATTTGACAAGAAATTCAAATTGCACAAAGCAAGCAATAAAAAAAAAACAGATCTAATTGTTAGGACTTTTAGTTTAGTTATGATAAAACTTTTTTTTTTCATTTTAGTAAACTTAATAGAGAAATGACACCATGGTGAAAAACAAATGTTTGATCCTAAGTTAATTAACATGCATAATCCAACTGAACAAAACAAAAAGAGTCGATAGCCTTCTCTTCTTTTTGGTTTTAAACTTCACAAGGATTACTCTTGAGATTTAAAGGATTAGAAACAAGAAAAATATAGTGATCATGTACAATTGTTGTACAAGTTTTTTGTCATTTTTTACATTTTACTAGTGTATAAAAACTAATAGTTGTATGTAAGGTTTACATGCATCTCTCCTAAGCTGATTTTGTGTGTATATTCAAAGAAAATGTACTAATAGTGTGAAAACGTCTTACAATTTTTGCAACATATTTTTCGCTGCTGAAATGTGTACAACTCCATAACTCTGGCTTCTTTGAAATCCTTTAGAACCCCATGTACTCTATCCTCGTTGTCATCTGCAATTGCATAAGCACAGATTTTACCGATGTGATGTTTCGTTTCGTTTCTTGTATCGCTGCCTCAATCAAAGCTTGGACGTTTTGGAAAAGTGCACATGCACTATCTACACTGGTAAACCTGACAGTTTCGAGGTCTAGAAAGACTTTTGTTTTATTCTTCTTGGTGTAGTTCTGTTTGTCGATGATAGTTAAACATCCCATTTTGCCATGATTTATGATTTGAAAAACATCAGCATCAACGAACTTTCCCCATGTTTCATGTACCACCAGCTTCATTAGCCTTCGATGTACTACTGGAGCTTGCCAAGTTAGATCCGCCACAAGCTCGATGACCCCTTCTCAAACTAGTGAGACAGAAAACCAAATGCCCTGTCCCGTCCAATCTACAAGCATAACCAAATGAATTCAGTAACATATTGGGTGAAAACATGACACTTAAGCATGAAAATAGTCACTGTATGAAAGAAACTGAAGTTTGAAGCGGAAATAAGAAATGTATCAGAAGACGAGGATAAGGATTATTGAGTTCTTTTAGATAATATTATAACCACTGAAAATTTGACACTCAGATCACAAAGAAATAAGTATGCGAGGTGACTAGTTACACAAAGAACTGCAGATACCTTGAATCCAGCTTAAAAATCTTCATGCATTACTGTTATGGTATGTGTTAACCTGGTTATCTAACTGATATTTAGGAATGATTTCGAACCTGTGTAACGGAAATTCGGAGAGGAACATCGCGAGAGATCTTGCTTATTTCCCTATTTATTTACTTGATTGTACATTATTTATAACTATTAGTTTACTATGTCTTATAACTTATCTACGCACTAACTTATGATATTTATGTAAGAAAACTGTGTTTAAACTTTTTTAGTGTGTAAAATTGATTAATTCAATTAAGATATAAATAATTAACAAATAATGAAATAAGATTTCATTGGTCAATTGGTCAATTTTCGAAAAAAGGAAATCTCGTGAGCGTTTCCATTTTTTTTTCTTCTTATAAATAGATACAAAGCATCACTCAACAACATGTACAAATCATTATCACAGTCGACTCCTTCTCTCTAGGGTTTCCCGTCGATAGATTTTGGGTTTCTATAGTCGATCCGAAGCGTTATTGATCAGCGAATCAACCAAATCAACAATATGTCTTTAATTCAAAATCATTCACTAGAACCACAATCCAAAAGGCGAAAGCTCCAACAAGAGACTAACTATTCGTCGTCGTCTTCTTCTACTAATTGTGGTCACTTCTTCGTTCGTTACGGAATCTGTTGCAATTGTAGATCCACGGTAGGGAAACATGAAGGCCGAGCATTCGACTATCTGGTCGACGGTTTACAGTTAAGCCACGAAGCCATTGCGGTTACGAAGCTACTCACAACACACGTCACTTGTCTCAACGACAAGAAACTTCACTTGGTACTTGACTTGGACCACACGCTTCTCCACACCGTTATGGTTTCGATGCTTTCCGAAGAAGAAAAGTACATAATCGGAGAAGTTGGTTCAAGAGAAGATCTATGGAGGTTTAACGGCGGCCACTCGAGCGAGTTTTTAATAAAGCTAAGACCTTTTCTTCAAGAGTTTCTTAAAGAAGCCAACGAGATGTTCAACATGTATGTTTACACGATGGGTAGTCGTGATTATGCAAAGACCGTTTTGAAGCTGATTGATCCCAAGAGAGTTTATTTTGGAGATCGAGTCATAACCAGAGAAGAGAGTCCTTATGTAAAGACGCTTGATCTTGTGTTAGCTGATGAGTGTGGAGTTGTGATTGTGGATGATACTCCACAAGTCTGGCCTGATCATAAGAGGAACTTGCTAGAGATCACCAAGTACAAATATTTTAGAGATAAAACAAGAAGCGATGTGGAGTACTCGAAATCTTATGCAGAGGAGAAGAGAGACGAGAGTCATAAGGATGGATCGTTGGCGAATGTTTTGAAAGTTCTCAAGGAAGTTCATGAACGATTCTTCAAAGACGGAGTTGAGAAAGAGTTAAAAAATGATCCAAAAGATGTGAGGCTGCTGCTGCATGATCTCTGCACACCACAATGTGGATTTTGATCCGATTTTACTTTTTGTTTTTCTGTTAGAAATTGAACAATCTGTAACAAAACATAATATATTCATATTTCCTTTTTGTTACCGGTATCATGTTTGGACAACAAAAACATTGCGTTAGGATCGTATTTACTCAATTTACAAAAGTATAGTAGAAACTCTATAAATTAATATTTAATATATTAATAAATTTTATTAATTTTTTCGGTCCCAAATTAGACAGGTTTAAAATTTAATACAAATCGATAAGATAATAAATAATAATTTTAACAAAACTCTTATGTAAATATATGGTCTCATTAATATCATAAATTAATAATTATCATAAATAAAATTTAATATAAATATATAAGTGAGATAATCTATCAAAATATGAGTTTAGTAAAAAAATTTATTTATTTTAAATTTAAAATTCTTGTAACTCATTTTTAATTTTAACAAAAAATATTTTAAAGAATAAACTCTTTAAAAAATCTCTTTTAAAATTAATAAAAAATAAAAAAATTTTAAAAAATCTATAAATTAATAACTTTATAAATTAATAAAATAACAAAGTCCCACCATTATTGATTTATAGAGTTTTTACTGTATTGTAAAAAAAATCCTTAAATTTTAAGTTTTACTAATTCATCAAATTCACCTAAGTTATAAGATAAAGAAAATAATAATTTAATTTGAATAGACAAATTTGCTAATGTTTATTATGTGTCTTCTAATTCGTCATGCTATTATGACTAGATTTTTTTGTTTTTAAATGAGATAATTTGTTTGACCAAAGAAAAGATTTATCTTTAATTGAAAATCCATATATAGCATATATGAACAAAACTGAAAAGGTAGAAAATTTGGATAGACTCACAGAAATTTACGGTTATGACCTTTTTATGTAATTATATATAGACTATTTTCATGCTTAACTTATATCTTTGAAAGATAAAATCATTGTTTGTTAAAAAAAAATAATAATAAGTATTAGAAAGAGTACTGAAATGCGTTGCTCCAAATTGATGGTTATATTCACTCTTGTTGCTATGGCGGCCATTTCTTGTGATCTTTTCTCAGGTATATGGTTTCTGTTTTTCAAAAATAATATTGTCATTATCACATATACAATTTTGTTTATCATGTTCCAATTGTTTTTTAATGGTTGGTATAGTTGAAATGGGGATTAATGTGCAAGCTGCGGCTCCCACTTGTGGACAAGATTGTACCGAGAAATTCTCCAATCAAGATTGCTATAAACATTGTGTAGGATTGTCTTATAAAAACGGTGTTTGCATTCTATCCGAAGGACTTCCTCCTAAAACTTCTACATATCGTTGTTGTTGTTCATAAAAAATATGTAATTCATCATTCTCTTTGATCAAATATGTTCACTATAGTGAATTGTTTTTTTTTTTTTTTTTGTAGTGGGAAGATCAAACAGATACGAAACTCCATTAATGTGATAAAAAATGATTTTGTTTTAAGAAACCTGTCTCAATTCAAACTGTAAAAATTCATCCAAACAGTTTAGTTTTATCGAGGGATTGGAAGAATACTTTATTGGAATTGATATAACTAATTAACACGATTAGCTTTTACATCTGCGTGGACAGATCATGTATAATTAGTATAGTGAAATTATGTATGTTGTGTAATTTTGTACCAAAAAATTCTGAACACCATTGTAATTTTGTATTTTAAAGTACTACTTTAGATGTTTAGAATAATATTTTTCATTTACATATAGTATAACGTACAAACAAATGAAAAAATGTTTTTAATTGTTAGGATTACAAAAATGGACTGGTAAAAAGTATAAGTTGTGATTACTGTAGCCAAGGATGGAGTTTCTTACTATTGGGGAATGTATCGATCCACAAGTGTTTTTGACAAGTATCGTAAATCAAAGGAATACGTTGTGATATTTTCGTGTATATCTATATTATTAATTTAACTGACTTATCTCATAATGATCTGCTTTTTATTAGAGACCAAATTAAGGATGGTGAGCTTTCAAGTGTTTTGCTTCAAGAAATAATCTATTTTTGGTAAGAGTCCGTGTGAAGATAAGTTTTTCGTTTCTTAAAGGGGCTGAGTCTTCCTTTCTTGCGAAGGAAGGAATAAGAAGTCTCTTCTGAAGAGACAAAAAGAGCTATCACATTTTAGCTCTCTTTATAGGTTATAAAAGAAACGTGTTTGGGCTAAGAGAAGAACCTAGGTTTATAGACTCTTCTATATCAGATTGACCAGGAACTATTTAAAAAAGGAAACCTGTCAGACCGCCGTGCGACCACCCCGGCTAGGGTAAGACCACCAGGGTTTAGGGCCTGTCTCCTTAGAAATCAAGGATACAGAAGTATGAGCCTATAGACAAGATCCTGTTCAAGTAAGGTCGTGACCCATGTTGCTCTCTCTACGTTATATATACAGCGATATGGTTTTTCAAAGTAACGATGTTGGATGATTCCTTATCAAAAAGAAATTATACATTATATTGTTTTAAGAATAATTGAGGCTTTATTTATATTTAAAGCCCATCTCCATCTACTCATCAGTTGTATAATACTCTTTTCTTGTGTAGTCATGACGACAACTTTTTGAGTTTTTTCCGATAAGTATTTGTTTGGCTTTTTAATATGTGCGACAAACCATCTACGTAACATATGTGTCAAATATACATAAGATAACGCTTCTTAATTACCAATTCATGGAAACTGGATCAAACAAAAGCTGTAACAGAGTTGAAGCATATGAACAAAATAAAAAGAGAACAGGAATTTTCATATATATGTATAAAAGGTAGTGAAAAGATTTATTGCATTGTTTACCAGAGAATCAAAGCAAAAGTCGCAACAAGAGTTGGTGGAGAGAGGAATCGCTATGTTACATTTTTATCAAGTATTAATGTTGATATCCAAGTGAGAAATTTGTGATATAAACTCTCAGCTTTTAAACTATTGTAAGTTCTCAATGAACTCAAACTCGGTTCAATAACTTATGTTTGTTTCTTTTGCCGCTCAAAATCATAAACAAATCACTTCAATATTTTCCGCGGTCCTGGAGAATCTTTCAGCTGATATGTAAACTTAAGTAAACTAAGTCAGTTATATTTATAATATAGATATACACGAAAATATCACAACATACCAATGATTTACGATATTTGTCAAATCCACTTGTGGATCGATACATTCCTCAATTGGCCAATTGTAAGGAACTCCATCCTTTGCTACACTAATCATAACTCATACTTTTTACCAGTCCATTTTTGTCAGCCTAACAGTTAAGAATATTTTTTCATTGGTACGTTATGCTATATGTAAATGAAAGAGAAAAAAAAGTTTTATTCTAACTATCTAAAGTAGTACTTTAAAATACAAAATTACAGTGGTGTTCAAAACAAAAATTACACAATATACACATGATTTCACATAATAATGTTTATACATGATCCGTCCACGTAGATGTAAAAACTCACGGTGTTAGTTATTTCAATTCCAATAAAGTATTCTTCCAATCCCTCGATAAAACTAAACTGTTTGGATGAATTTTTACAGTTTGAATTGAGACGGATTTCGGTTATAACCACCTTAAACTACATGTATACAATAATTTTGTTTTAAAAAATCTATCATATACAAACGACATTGAGTTTGTTAAAACAAAATCATTTTTATTACATTAATGGAGTTTCATATCTATTTGATTTACCAAAAAACAATTCACTATAGTAAACATATTTGATCAAAGAGAATGATGAATTACATATTTAATTTATGAACAACAACAACGATATGTAGAAGTTTTAGGAGGAAGTCCTTCGGATAGAATGCAAACACCGTTTTTAAGACAATCCTACACAATGTTTATAGCAATCTTGATTTAGGAATTTCTCGGTACAATCTTGTCCACAAGTGGGAGCCGCAGCTTGCACATCAATCCCCATTTCAACTATACCAACCTTAAAAAAACAACTGGAACATGATAAATAAAATTGTATTAAAGCCAAAAACAAAACAAAAAAAAACAAAATTGTATATGTAATAATTGACAATATATTATTTTTTTGAAAAAAATGTATATACCAGAGAAAAGATCACAAGAAATGGCCGCCACAAGAGTGAATATAACCATCAATATGGAGGAACGCATTTTCAGTACTCTTTAATACTTCGTTTTTTTGTTAACAAACAATGATTTTATCTTTCAAAGATATAGGTTAAGCATGAAAATAGTCTATTTATAATTACATAAAAAGGTCATAACCGTAAGTTTCTGTGAGTCTATCCAAGTTTTCTTCCTTTTCAGTTTTGTTCATATATACTATATATGGATTTTCAACTAAAGATAAAACTTTTCTTTGGTCAACCAGATCATCTCATTTTAAAAAATATCTAGGCATAATAGCATGACGAATTAGAAGACACGTAATAAACATTAGCAAATTTGTCTATTCAACTTAAACTAAGGATTATAGCGCGGAAATATTTTTTTGACCTTCAATTACGTTAAATTATTTTGCAAAAACAATTATTTTTAAAAAACAGTTATTTTGTAAAAATAATTATTTTGTGAATTTTATAAAATAAGTTGATCTCTATGTAGAGTTTTTTTATATTTTGGTTTGAGTTGTAAAAAATTAGTTAATTCGTATATAAGGTTATTTTTTAAGTGGGTCAAGCAAAATAAATTGTTTATTTAACATATAAGACATTAAACTAATATATTATCGAGCCTAATACACAAATATTATAATATTATAATCATCAAATCTAATTTATATTACTTAATAACTGAGTTTCATAATTTGTCTACAAAATATAAAAATCAGTTTTATATTCTTTAACTATATATGTAAATAAATATAATATTATTTAAAATTAGGTTCGATATAAAATTAATTAAAATATAATAAATTATATTTAGTTTTAAAAGATAAATTATAATATTTAGTAGATTAAATATACTATATTTTTAAAAACTAATATCTTGAATTGCGAGATTTATTTGGTGAATATTAAAAAAATAGAATCATAATCCATTCATATCGAATTAACCCGTTTACTTAACATGTTTGTACTGGATTAGAATATAAAACTAATTATAATATGCACCGTTTGATAACTTTTACTTCATCAAAAATTTTTTTAATTAAAAACAATTTTTTCATGTCAAAATTTTGGTAAAAATAACTAAAAAATTATTTTTGTATAATAAATATAAAAAAATTACAGTTAAAAATATTTCACTATTTTTTATATCATAATTTTAGTCTTGATTTTATATTATTTAATTGTGAATTTGTTTTTATTTTTTATGTTTTTTAATTAAATATACTTTGTAATGTCATTTGAAACAAAATATAAAAAATTACCATATTTTTGAATATAGAAATTAAATAATAAATATACTCTATTAAATGAAAAACAAAGACTTTCCATATTTTTTCTCTATATCATTTCCTATTTTAATAATGTTTTGTTATTTGTAATGGCATATCAGGTAATGTTTTACAAAATAAAGGTTATTTTGTTAAATGTCTACTTAAATAATAATATAGAGATTATTATTTTTTGATGTTATAACTTAGGTGAATTTGATGAAATAGTAAAACTTGAAAGTTAAGGAGTTCTTTTTACAATACTTGTGTAAATTGAGTAAATACGACCCTAACGCAATGTTTTTGTTGTCCAAACATGATACCGGTAACAAAAAGGAAATATGAATATATTATGCTTTGTTACAGATTATTCAATTTCTAACAGAAATACAAAGGTAAAATCGGGTCAAAATCCTTAGAAACATTGTGGTGTGCAGAGATCATGCAGCAGCAGCCTCACATCTTTTGGATCAATTTTTAACTCTTTCTCAACTCCGTCTTTGAAGAATCGTTCATGAACTTCCTTGAGAACTTTCAAAACATTCGCCAACGATCCATCCTTATGACTCTCGTCTCTCTTCTCCTCTGCATAAGATTTCGAGTACTCCACATCGCTTCTTGTTTTATCTCTAAAATATTTGTACTTGGTGATCTCTAGCAAGTTCCTCTTATGATCAGGCCAGACTTGTGGAGTATCATCCACAATCACAACTCCACACTCATCAGCTAACACAAGATCAAGCGTCTTTACATAAGGACTCTCTTCTCTGGTTATGACTCGATCTCCAAAATAAACTCTCTTGGGATCAATCAGCTTCAAAACGGTCTTTGCATAATCACGACTACCCATCGTGTAAACATACATGTTGAACATCTCGTTGGCTTCTTTAAGAAACTCTTGAAGAAAAGGTCTTAGCTTTATTAAAAACTCGCTCGAGTGGCCGCCGTTAAACCTCCATAGATCTTCTCTTGAATCAACTTCTCCGATTATGTACTTTTCTTCTTCGGAAAGCATCGAAACCATAACGGTGTGGAGAAGCGTGTGGTCCAAGTCAAGTACCAAGTGAAGTTTCTTGTCGTTGAGACAAGTGACGTGTGTTGTGAGTAGCTTCGTAACCGCAATGGCTTCGTGGCTTAACTGTAAACCGTCGACCAGATAGTCGAATGCTCGGCCTTCATGTTTCCCTACCGTGGATCTACAATTGCAACAGATTCCGTAACGAACGAAGAAGTGACCACAATTAGTAGAAGAAGACGACGACGAATAGTTAGTCTCTTGTTGGAGCTTTCGCCTTTTGGATTGTGGTTCTAGTGAATGATTTTGAATTAAAGACATATTGTTGATTTGGTTGATTCGCTGATCAATAACGCTTCGGATCGAGAAAGGGAACCCAAAATCTATCGACAGAAACCCTAGAGAGAAAGAGTCGACTGTGATAATGATTTGTACATGTATTTGAGTGATGCCTTGTATCTATTTATAAAGAAAAAATGGAAACGCTCACGAGATTTCCTTTTTGAAAGTTGACTAACACGAGATTTCCTTTTTTTGAAAGTTGAATAATATACACACGTGTGCAGATTCATTTTGTTGGTATGGGATTAGGCAATAACAAGATATATATTTTCTTTTCTCTATCGAAAAGGCAACATGAGATTGAACATGTCAACAAAGATTAATTTGAGAAAGACATTAGCAAAGTAAACAAGCAAAACAGATTCGTCTTAAAACTAAGGTTCAGGGTAAATTTATCTCTGAAAAATTCAAAATTCATGGGAAACAAAAGAAATTTTTCAACTTTCAGCTGCATCATCACTAGCTAGAAAGCTGACTTCTTCTCATCAATTCAAAAACCAGAACCATCCATCTCGATTTTCTTCCTATTGGCTAAAAATTTGAACTGAAATTAATCCAAAAAAACAGAAACTTGAACCGTAACAAAGAGCTTTTGGTCATTGCAATTTGAGCAGAGTACCTTCAACACCAAACGAAGGGAGTAACAACTGGCGACTGTA